ATTTGCATTCCCACCAACAGTGTAAGAGGGTTCCCTTTTCTCCACACCCTCTCCAGCATTTATTGCTTGTAGACTTTTGGATAGCAGCCATCCTGACTGGCGTATAATGGTACCTCATTGTGGTTTTGATTTGCATTTCTCTGATAATGAGTGATGTTGAGCATCTTTTCATGTGTTTGTTAGCCATCTGTATGTCTTCCTTGGAGAAATGTCTGTTTAGTTCTTTGGCCCATTTTTTAATTGGGTCATTTATTTTTCTGGAGTTGAGCTGGAGGAGTTGCTTGTATATTTTTGAGATTAATCCTTTGTCTGTTGCTTCGTTTGCTATTATTTTCTCCCAATCTGAGGGCTGTCTTTTCACCTTGCTTATAGTTTCCTTTGTTGTGCAAAAGCTTTTAAGTTTCATTAGGTCCCATTTGTTTATTTTTGCTTTTATTTCTAAAATTCTGGGATGTGGGTCATAGAGGATCCTGCTGTGATTTATGTCGGGAGAGTGTTTTGCCTATGTTCTCCTCTAGGAGTTTTATAGTTTCTGGTCTTACCTTGAGATCTTTAATCCATTTTGAGTTTATTTTTGTGTATGGTGTTAGAAAGTGTTCTAGTTTCATTCTTTTACAGGTGGTTGACCAGTTTTCCCAGCACCACTTGTTAAAGAGGTTGTCTTTTTTCCATTGTATATCCTGAGGCAAAGGATGTTGTTTACAAAAGACAGGTAGCGAAAGGTTAAGGAAAAAGGGCTTAAGAACACTGGAAAAAATATGAATACAACAGTAATCCCTAGAATAAAAATAAAAAGCTTTCTAAACCACCCCTTTCCCACATTGAGTCCTTCCCTCACAGAGAGAGTAAATATAATACACTCAGTAATTAGAGGAGACATGAAAGAACTGAGAGCAAAGCAGTCATATCATAAAACTGAATGGGCCGAACCTGTCTATTAAAAGATTTTCAGTTTGGCTCACACAGTAAAAACTCAACTCTGTGCTGTATATAAGACGCTCACTTCAAATGCAATTGAAGAAACTAAAAATAAAGGCTTGGGCAAAGATTTACCCGGGCAAATAGAAACAGTGAAACAGCAGGAGTTGCCATGTGATAGCCAAGTAGATTTTAAGTCTAAAGCAAAACACATAAACAAACAATTCAGAGATATAAAGTGGCCACTGAATACACAAAATAATTTCCAACTTCACCCATAATAAATAAATATGAAGGAAAACTGTACTGAGATGCCATTTTTCATCCATCAGACTGGCCAGGCCAAACTTCCTGAAAATCTCATTGAACTTTGGCCTGGACATATACCACTATAATTCTATTTTGTAGCACTTTAGTAAAATTACCTGTTGATTAATCTCTGGACCATCGGAGATTTCTTTCATTATACCTTAACTTGAAAATAAGATTATAAAGCCTTATTCTTTTTCTCCATAATTATATATATGTATATATAATCGTGTGTACAAATATGTGTGTGTGTATATATATATATATATATATATTTTTTTTTTTTTTTTTCATTAGCTTTGAAATGCTCAATCTTAAAGCATGCAACTATGGGCACTAAAGGTTGGCTTGGGAGTAGCATCATATGTTTGAAAAGGTTTGGTTTCATTTCATTACTGTCTCTTCATTACTGTTATATTAGGACTTGGGCTTCCCATGTGGTTCTAGTAGTAAAGAACCCGCCTGCCAATGCAGGAGATGTAAGAGACCAGGGTTCAAACCCTGGTTTGGGAAGATTCCCTAGAGGAGGACATGGCAACCCACTCCAGTATTCTTGCGTGGGTAATTCCATGGACAGAGGAGCTTGGCGGGCTACAGTCCACAAGGTCGCAAAGAGCAGACATGACTGAAGTGACTTAGCACTGATCTCCCCGTGTTCGCTACCTCTCTTTGGGTCAGGCAAACTGGAACTGTTGGTTATACATGTAAACTGTCATGTTAAGCGTCTTCACATAGCAGTCACGTCTAATTGCCCTAAACTGCAAGAGGGAGACGAGTATTTTGTTCTCCTGAAAATAAGACACAGTCAGATTGAATTTTATTTGAGTTGTTCATACTGCATAATGGCCTGATAAAGCAATTTTGATTAATTTTCTGTGCCTGGTGTTTAAAAGGCTGCCATCTAAGGCTGAAAGGTGTTGGTTGCTTCTCAGGTTCCTGTTCTCAAGCACAGCAACACCAGGGTCAACTTGTTCTTACACACTTGGAAAAGCGGTGACCCAGGCTTCTCCCAGTTGGTGCTAGTGGTAAAGAACCTGCCTGCCAATGCAGGAGACATGGGACGCAGGTTCTGCCCCTGGGTTGGGAAGATCCCTTGGAGAAGGAAATGGTAACACACTCGTCTTCTTGCCTGGAGAATTCCATGCACAGAGGACCCTGGCGGGTTACAGTCCATGGGGTCCCACGGAGTTGGACTGAAGTGACTTTGCACACACTCAGGCTTTTCCAATTAAAAACCACGTACAGTGTATGTGACATTGTTTTAAAACAGACATGAAGCAGAGGTTCTCAAGTGGGAGGGTTCTGTCCCTCATAAGAGACATCTCACAATGTCTGGAGACAATTAAAAAAAATACAGACTATTAAAAAAATTAATTTATCTTTGGCTGCATGGAGTCTTTGCCGCCTTTGCTCGGGCTTTCTCTAGCTGCAGTGAGGGCGTCTCCACACAGCGGCTTCTTGTTGCTGAGCACAGGCTCTAGGGCACACGAGCTCAGAAGATGTGGTGCATGGGCTTAGTTGCTCTGAAACATGTGGGATCTTCCCAGACCAGGGATTGAACCTGGGTCCTCTGCATTGGCAGGCAGATCCTTATCCACGGTGCCACCCAGGAAGTCCTCCAGGGACGTTTTTGGTGATCATTACTGGAGAGCACCACTGGCGTGAAATGGATGGAGACCAGGAGTGCTACCAACATCTTACGATGTTCAACCAGGAGTGCTACCAACATCTTAACAATGTTCGAAACAAGCACTTACTCCCTACAAAATATCAACTGTGCGAGGACTGAGAATACTGCTTTGTCTATAACCATCAGCTGGTCTTAACTTTTATTTTCCTAGAACTCTTCTCTTCATATCTTATTATAGACTGTTACATTCTCTTTGTATGTTTGTGTTCTCCCAAACTTCACATTGAAGCCCTGATGCCCACTGCGATGGCATTGGGAGGTGCGGCCTTTGGGAGGTGATTATGTCATGAGGGTGGAGAACTCATGAATGGGATTAGTGCCCTCCTAAGAGAGGCTCCAGAGAGATCCTAGCCCCTTCCACCACAGCGGGAACACAAGAGCTCTGTGACCCGGATGACGGCTCTCACCTGACCACACTGGCACCTTGATCTCAGACTTCTAGCCTCCAGAACTGTGAGAAGTAAATTTGATTTTTTTAGGCTCTTTTTAAAAACTTTATTTCTAAATTTTTAATAAATTTTAAATAAAAAGGATTAACTGCTTTGCAATGTTGTATTAGTTTCTGCCATATATCAACACGAATCAGCCACAGGTATACAAATGTCCCCTCCCTCTTGAATCTCCCTCCCACTTCCCACCTGATCCCCAAATTTCTGTTTATAAGCCACCCAGTAGCTTATAATATTTTATTATAGTAGCATGAATGGACTAAGACAGGGACAAACTTGAGGACCAAGATATGGCAGCAAAGTAGTTTGGACCAAGTGAAGACTGGGTTGGGTCTATGAAGTATTTTACTAAAACTGGGAGACGCCTGTTGGCCCTAGTTTCCAGCTTGGGCTTCCTGTTAAGACACCACAGGTGTGGATACCCTGCATCAGAAAGCTCTCATCAGTCTTCCGATGACTCAGGATCAGAAGGTGGCTACCATGGAATCATTCACAACAGCACAATGCCGCTCCTCCAATAATGTATTTATTTACATGAAAAGACCATTTTATACAAATTGAGACAAATCTTGAAGGGTTTGTCCAGGCTTGCCTTCCCCATTCCCTGATTTTGTCCCTTCCACTCTCCTCTTTTTTTGGTATCATAAATAAAGGGTTTTAGACTGGGTGAGAGAACCTAAATCTACTTCCTGTTTCCCCATCCAAAGTTACTTTGAATATCTAATGTCTATAACCATCCTTCAAAGAAAACTCTTGCCCAGAGTCATTTTATTTAATTTATTTATGTAATACAGTGTAGAAAGCTATCATGGTCATAAGCAATGATCCTGTACAATCATCCTGCAGAAAAGTTTTTTGGGAGAATTCTTGGTAATTTGAGACCAGCAGAGCGTTCCTACCCCCACCCTCCCCCACCCGTAAAAGTGCTTACAATGAACAGGGATTCTTTTCTTTATCAAAGATCTGAAGATACATGGACGAAAAAAGTCTCAGTTCTCAATGCCTAATGTGTGCACATAAAACAGGCACGGAGAAATAAACGTCTATCCTCGTAATTCCTACATCACACATAGAGCAGAAGCAGCAATCTGTACAGTAAAATGCAATTGTGGGAAAAAAAAAATCCTCTAACTTATTTGGATTACATAAAAACGTTGAACTTTAAAATGCATAGTGATCAGGAAAAGAATACTTAGGCAAGAGAAGCAGCTAAACTCCCACGTTCACAGAAAGCATTCCCCCATCGATTCTTAAAGCATATTTCAAAGTAGGACTTAGTTGGGTCACAAACCACAAGGATAATATACAACTGGCTAAGGGGCTACATGATAAATAATCAGGAGAGAATCTATTCATGCACTAGTTGGATACAGCTAAATTCTTTACAGTACACAAAACCCATTAATAATGTAGTGTCGAGACCGAAATGTGAAGAGAGAATACATTACTGATTTGTATATTAATTCAAGTTCAGGCATCTACGTGTGTTACAGCACAGCTGTCGAAAGGCGATAATGAGTAAATAATAAAACAGAAGGGCTTGCTTTTTTCCCGCCTTATTCTCTAAATGAACACCGATGGGTAGTGAAGCAATGGTTTTGCTGTCCGATTTCAGAGGCTGCTGCGGCGGTGGTCTAGTTCTGCATCTGCTCAAAGAACTTGTAAGTTGGGTTTTCGTAGCCGTTCTGTTGCATCTTAGAGAGGTGGCGCTCCTCTGGGGTCACAGCGGCGTCAACCTGCAGAGCAAGAACCAGGACAAATGAGCCTCTTTAAAAAAAACAAAAAACAATCTTTTAAGAGCGCACACGGAGAAGCCGGAGAAAGATAAGGTGCAGTGTACTCTTTTTTTTTAAGCCAAGATTGCAGAACACCCACAAATTGTCCTTTCTTTTCCACTCTGACGTAGAGGAGGAGGTCTTCCCTGCAGCGCAAATGGTAAAGAATCCACCTGCGACACGGGAGACCCGGGTCTATCCCCGAGTTGGGAAGGTCCTCTGGAGGAGGGCATGGCAACCCACTCCAGTATTCTTGCCTGGAGAATCGTAAGGACACAGGATGAGATGGTTGGATGGCATCACTGACTCAAAGGACATGAGTCTGAGCAAACTCTGGGAGATAGTGAGGGACTGGGAAGCCTGGCGTGGTGCAGTCCGTGGGGTGGCAGAGTCGGACACCTGAGCGACTCAACAGCAACGCCTGAGCCCACCAGTTACGCAGATACTCCATCTGCCCACTAGGTGGCGCGCGCAACCTTGACCGGCTGGCTGGCCTTACGCAGTGCTCATTGGTTGCTTCCCTCCCGTAGTAGTAACTGGATGAATTTAAGACAATAAATATTGTTCTCTTCCCCCGGTGGCTTGAAAAAGGACAAAAGGCTTCTATGAAAGACTGTTTTACTTGAGAGTGTGGTGTCAAGGTAGAAAAAAAAAATTCGAGTATTCGAGAGAGATTTAGCTAAGCAGAATGGGTGAGACTCAAAAATCTGAACTGAGTATCTCCGCACTCTTGCTTTAGTTTGTCCCCGTTTTTTAAATCAAATTTAATGCTTCAAAGAAAGGCTCTTTTAATTAAAATAATGACATAGATGAATCAAAAAATATTAAAAGATAAAGAAAGAACATACTGCTCCAGATTATTTTTAACTAAGATTCTAAAAACATGTCTGGCTGAAGATTTAAACAGATGGCCTCTGTTGATACGGTGGGTCCTCTGAGTTGTAAATCTGGGTTTGTCCTCCCAGGGTCTCTGTCAGGGCCAGGTCCGCTTACTCTCTGCAGGCTGAGCCAGATGTATGTTTGGGGTGGGGGAAGGTGTTCAGGTTTTTAGCAGATCTGCTGTACCTCAAACAGGACACAGAAGAGAGGAAGTACTTATCTCTTTGCTCAATACATGAAAACTTACACTGTGTTATTACTGTTTTAAAACAAAAATAACTTTTCCCTCAGATACTGCACCAGGCAAGAAGTCAGCTGCCTGTTGACCACAAGCATGGAGACCTTAAATTAGCTGGAACCAGAGGACTGGTGACCTTGATTCTCCAAATACCACCTGGCTACCTCACCACTGATCAGCAGAAGGATGTCCACAAGCTGATCAGGCATCCTATGACCTCCCTCACTGTGTCTTTAAAAACCCTTCCCTGAAAGCCACTGGGGAGGTCAGGTCTTCCGAGAATTAGCTGCCCATACCACTTGAGTGGCTCAGAGGGTAAAGTGTCTGCCTGCAATGCGGAAGACCCAGGTTTGTCCCCCGGGATGGGAAGATCCTCTGGAGAAGGACATGGCAACCCACTCAAGTATTCTTGCCTGGAAAATCCTACGGACAGAGGAGCCTGGCGGGCTACAGTCCGTGGGGTCGCAGAGTCGGACACAACTGAGGAACTTCACTTCACACTCACCACTTGCTTGGCCTTGCAACAACCTGTCCTCTGTATCTATGAGTTCAGGTTTTTTTTTTTTTTTTTTTAAAGATTTCAAATATAAGTGAACAATCACAGTATTTTTCTTTTTCTCTGTCTGGCTTATTTTGCTTAGCATAATATCCTCAAGGCCCATCTGTGTTATCACAAATGGCAGAATTTCCTTCCTTTTAATGGTTAGATAATATTCTATCACATGTGTATCACATTTTCTTTATCCATTCATCCATTAATTGGCACTTGGTTTGCTTCCATGACTTGGCTATTGTAAATAATGCTGTGCTGAACATAGGAGTACAGATGTCATTTCTAGATAGTGATTTCATTTCCCTTGGATACATATTCAGCAGTGGAGTTGCTGGGTGTATGACAGTTCCGTGTTTAGTTTACTGAGGAATCTCCATACTGTTTCCACAGGGACTGCACACTCTTTTGGTCTACATTATTCATTAGCTGGTGGGGTCTAGTCATGGTATATAAATCGTCTTCCATCCCTCGACATGATGTCCCAGCACTGACAGACCTGCTCTCTGGTGTTTTTCCTTATTGGGTTCAGGGGGAAAAAAATGGTGACTACAATTAACAATATTGTATTTGAAAGTTGTTTAAAAGAACAGATCTTCAAAGTTTTTATAACAGGAAAAAATCTGCAATTATGTGAAATGTAAGCTGTTCACTAAATTCCAGTATTCTTGCCTGGAGAATTCCATGGACTGAGAGGATTGTGGCAGGCTTATAGTTCACGGGATCGCAAAGAGTTGGACACGACTGAGTGACTTTCACTTTCAACTTACTTTGGTAATCACCTCACAATATGTACATATATCAAACCATCATGTTGCAAACTTAAAACTAATACAATGTTATACATCAATATATCTCAACAAAACTGGAATAAGCTGGGTTCCTCAAGGTTGCTTTATGACTCCACCTCATGGGCCAATTGATGCATTTCAGTCTGGGCGAGAGTTGGAATGACTGCCTTGGCTAACCTCAGCGCAGCTGGAACAGACATAGAACTCCACTGGGAGGACGCCGCGCCAACGGATGCTCCACACTGCTGTCCCTGGGAGAGTAATCAGAGATGTTTCCCCGGCCCTTGCTCTGCCTTTGATCTGCTCTGTTTTCAACAAATGAGGTCACTGGGCTTTAATTGGCAATTGTGTCATTAACCAGGACCTTGTAAGTTACAATGCCGTCATTAAAGATCAGCACCAGCAATGAGGGATTCCCCTCACTCTCTGAATCTGCTTGGTGGGAAAATAGCCTGCCTGCAGTCCTATGCCATTAGAACTCGGGCATCTCTCTGCTCTGTGCCACCTCTTAAGCGAGATTTCTAAGAATGTGGAGATTAAAAAGCATCCTGCCACGGAGATCAGGCACTGCTACGTGTCTGAGTGCAGAAGAAAATATAACGCTGCTTGACTATTGGAGTATTAAACTTGTACTAATACAAGTTTACCTGGACCTGCGTCAACCCTCACACTGGCTGCATTCATCAGGGGCAGCTGCGGCTGCTGCTAAGTCGCTTCAGTCGTATCTGACTCTGTGTGACCCCACTGACGGCAGTCCTGGGATTCTCCAGGCAAGAACACTGGAGTGGGTTGCCATTTCCTTCTCCAATGCATGAAAGTGAAGTCACTTCAGTGGTGTCCGACTCTTAGCAGCCCCACAGACTGCAGCCAACCAGGCTCCTCCATCCATAGGATTTTCCAGGCAAGACTACTGGAGTGGGGTGCCATTGCCTTCTCTGCATCAGGGCAGGGGAACAATTAAATACCTGATCTCCTCTTCGAAGGCCAAAGTCAAACTCTTATTTAAGACAGCATGGCCAGAGACGCGAGGCTCAGAGGATGGTGAGTGGGTCAAGCAGCTAACTTTCCTGTCTTTTCCTGGCCTCTTTTCTACTTACTAATCCTCATGACCCTCCGCTGCTGGGTCAAAGCTAGTCAAAGCTTTGGTTTTTCCAGTAGTCATGTATCGATGTGAGAGTTGGACTATAAAGAAAGCTGAGCGCGGAAGAATTGATGCTTTTGAACTGTGGTGTTGGAGAGTCTTGAGAGGACTCTTGAGAGTCCCTTGGAGTGCAAGAAGATCCAACCAGTCCATCCTAAAGGAAATCAGCCCTGAATATTCATTGGAAGGACTGATGCTGAAGCTGAAACTCCGAAACTTTGGCCACCTGATGGGAAGAACTGACTCTTTTGAAAAGATGCTGATGCTGGGAAAGATTGAAGGCAGGAGGAGAAGAGGACGACAGAGGATGAGACGGTTGGATGACATGACCTACCAACTCAAGAGGCATCACCACTCAAACCAACGAGTTTGAGTCAACTCCGGCAGTTGGTGATGGACAGGGAAGCCTGGCATGCTGTAGTCCATGGGGTCACAAAGAGTGAGACATGACTGAGCGACTGAACTGAACTGAACTGAATGCTCATGACCCTCTGCCGCTGGGAGGGTGGCTCATGTTTCCTCAGTCCTGCAGTGGGGAGGCTTGGCCCCCAGGTCTCACGAGGGCTTGGAGCCACAGGAGAAGGGGTTACCTTTACAACGTGCCACGCATGGAGTGTGGATGGCATCTTTTTATCCCCAGCTCCTCGAAAGCTAAAGGTGGAATGCTGAGTGCTCTGGTCCACGGATAAACCCACCACTGAAGGAAGTCGGGGGGAGCTTCCTCCTTTGCCGGGCGCAGTCAGCCGTCACTCACGGCTCAGCCATCGCCCTGCTGCGGGCCACCCCAACGTGAGCCCAACCCACCATGGCCCTGGGCGTACAGGGCCTCAACATCGTATCACTTCCATTCAAGTGACTGCTCACCTCCAACTGGTAATGCTTCTATGAATAAAAGCACTAGGCATGCTTCACTTGCTCATCTCTGTGATCTCCTGCAGCAATTCTTCCCTCTAAGAAGGAGCGAATCCCTGGAGACGAAAGCTTTTGTTGGGGTTTCTCCTTCACAGCTGAATTCTGTCCTGACAGACGTAGGCCCATCCATCTGGGGATACCCATTTACTCATTTTTATTCTTAGTGAAATAAGGTTACTCATTAATGAAACAGGTTAACCAGCCATCTAGTCAAGGCTATGGTTTTTCCAGTGGTCATGTATAGATGTGAGAGTTGGAATATAAAGAAAGCTGAGTGCTGAAGAATTGATGCTTTTGAACTGTGGTGTTGGAGAAGACTCTCGAGAGTCCCTTGGACTGCAAGGAGATCCAACCAGTCCATCCTAAAGGAGATCAGTCCTGGGTGTTCATTGGAAGGGCTGATGCTGAAGCTGAAACTCCAATACCTTGGCCACCTGATGTGAAGGGCTGACTCATTTGAAAAGACCCTGATGCTGGGAAAAAATGAGGGCAGGAGGAGAAGGGGACAGCAGAGGATGAGATGGTTGGATGGCATCACTGACTCATTGGACATGAGTCTGAGTAAACTCTGTGAGTTGGTGATGGACAGGGACGCCTGGCGTGCTGCAGTCCCTGAGGTCGCAAAGAATTGGACATGACTGAGTGACTGAACCGAACCGAACTGAACCAGCTGGCAATAAACTTATTTCCTTGTCCTTAAGGGGGAGAAGCCCATCAGACAGGCAGAGAAGTGTGGGTGGGGGGAATCACTCGATTCGGCACATACTCTGAAAGCAATGGTGTTGAAACCCTCTTTCATGTTGCATCACCCTGGCCAGGTGAGGCAGCCCAGGCGCTCAGGCTGGGTTGCAGTTCTGTGTGTCTGAATTCAGCTGGACTATCACCTTCCTGAGGGCTGGGATGGTATCCAGCGCCTTAGATGAAGATCTCTTCTAACACTCAACACGGAGCTTGACGAAGGCTTGGGTTGCCTACGGATTGGAGAGAAAGGAAGACCTCTCCAGGGAGAAAGAGATGGTTTCTGGGTTCTTCACAACATCCTTCCTTTAAAAAAGAAGGAGGTGAGCAGAAATAAGGAAGAGAAACACCAAAGGAGGTGGGGCGGTCAGTCTAGCAGTTCCCAGTTGCTCTTAAGCTAACAAAATGAACAACAACAGAAGGGCTGAAAGACTTCTCTTCCCACAGGGATGCTTTCTGGCTTAAAAATTAATTCACTTTTTTCAGAACTCGTGTTAAAGCGTCAAGTGCTCTAACAGTCCAAAACCGAGTAACTAATCAAAAAAATTTTTTTTATCCCAGGAAGCTGTGTGTGTGCGTGCTAAGTTGCATCTGGTTCTTTCCGACTCCATGGACTGTAGCCTACCAGGCTCCTCTGTTCACGGGATTCTTCAGGCAAGAATACTGGAGTGGGTTGCCATGCCCTTCTCCAGGGGATCTTTCCCACCCAGGGATTGAACCCACATCTCTTATGTCTCCTGCACTGGCAGGCAGGTTCTTTACCACTAGCGCCAGCTGGGAAGCCCAAGGTTTGCTTAGATAACTATATAAAAGGATTCCCCGGTGGCTCAGATGGTAAAGAATCGGCCTGCAATTTGGGAGACTCGGGTTCAATTGCTGGGTCAGGAAGATCCCCTGGAGAAGGGAATGGCAACCCACTCCAGTATTCTTGCCTGGAGAATTCCATGGACAGAGGAGCCTGGCGGGCTGCCCGTGGGGTGGCAAAGAGCCAGACACGACTGAGCAAGTAACACTTTCACTTTTCATATAAAAGGCTGGAGTGCTAACACTAAATATACATCGGTGATTCTCAAAACTGACTGCGTGTTTGATTCAGCTGCAAAAATCTTCTACACTGAGATTTCTAGCCTCCTATTCGGAAATTCTGTTTCCCAAGGTCTGGGGTGGGATATGGGGAATGTGTCCTTGGAAATCGGTACCTTGTAAGTCTCAGCACGATCATGGCAGTCAGCTCCGAGATGCCTTGTTTCACTTCCCAGCATCGCGGGGCTCTGATACGGATTGTATCGCCCCCAGATTCCCATGCTGAAGTCCTAATTCCCAGTACTTTATACATAATATCCATACGTTTGTTATTTAGTTGCTAAGTCGTGTCTGACTCTTTGCGACCCCATGGACTGGAGCCCACCAGGCTCCTCTGTCCATGCGATTTTCCAGGCACGAATACTGGAGTGAGTTGCCATTTCCTACTCCAGGGGATCTTCCTGATGACCCAGGGATCGAATTCATGTCTTTTGCGTCTCCTGCATTGGCAGGTGGATCCTTTATCCCCGTGCCACCTGGGAAGCCCTCCTCTGACCTTGGATCTACTGAATTTGACACTGAAAGAACACTGCTTTTGTCTGGGTCTGTTTTCTCATGTATAAAATGAGATCAATTAATTATCCTTGAGATCTTTTTCGGCTCTAGCAATTCTCAACTTCTCAAAATGTATTAATTCACTTTCTTTAATAGTTTCCTGAAAACTACATAACCTGTGAGGTTCTTCTCTTCTCAACCTGCATTTTAAATGCATATAAGGAACTTATTTGTACATTTTATTTTACAGTATTTTATGTCATAGGTTTAAGGAGTCATGTTTGAATCTTGTAGCTTAATCTATTTTGCTGGTATAACTTACTCCCTCTGTGTTGTACATACTCCTATTTCCCACAGGTTGGGCTGTTGGGAGAGTCTCGAGGAAATGGAATTGTCACTTTGTGGGTCTTTTCTCCATCTTCAGGGCCACTGCACTAACACCTTGAAACTAAGACATTTCAGGTGCAAGGGCAGGCTAACAGGTTAACGACCTTGACTAATTTTGTATATGTTTTTCAGCCCTTGGGAATGAAGTGATTTTCTGTGAAACTCTAAAGGTTGGAGACTGTTTACTGAAAATTATTTACTATTACCTGGCTTGAGTTAGAAGACACATGATTAATTTAAAAGTCCAGGAATAGGGACATGCCTGGTGGTCCAGTGGTCAAGATTCCACCTTTAGTGCAGGGGACACAGGTTCAGTCCCTGGGCGGGGAACTAAGATCCCACACGCCACAACTAAAGAGCCCACACGCTGCAACTGTTGAACTCTCGGGTGCAACAAAGACCCCAGCATAGCAAAAAAAAAAAAAAAAAAAAAAATCCAGGAATAAATGTGTCAAAAATTTTTTTTGCAACAAAGTGCAGCCTTCCACCTTCTTTTTTATTTGTTAACTTAAAAAAAAAAATGTTTCATGGCAATCACAATGTCCTTTAGCCAGGCATTATCCTTAGTATTATTTTGATATTTCAATATTTCAATAGGAAGTTGAGATAGCATATATCCCCAATGCCTTGACCACAGTAGTTATAAGTCAGAATGAATAAAAACCAGAAGCAAGAAAATAGTTGCAACTTGAGATTGTTTTTTTCAAAGAAGAGATACTTGGATGACTCTAACACCAAGCAAGAGTTCCTTTATCGTCTTTAACTCCCAGTTGCAGACACGTGGCCAGGTTCACCTACCTCCACCACTCCATGATGGATGGATGTGTACTGTTTCTTCTTCAGCATCACCAAGGTGATGACGATCACTGTTGCTATGACAACACCGCCCACCATGAGTCCAATGATTGCACCTTTGTTGGAACCCACATCTTCTGCAAAGAACACCTTGAAAACAAATCAAGAAAAAGGATTTTAACTATGGGAGATGTATGGATGAGGAATGTGAAAAGTTTCAGTATATCCAGTCTACATTTTATGCTGTAAGTTTGAATTGTCGGTCACTCAAATTATTTGGTGCGCACTTGAAAAAAAAGCCAAATAATACTGACTAAAAATGACATCTTCAGTCTATAGAATAATGTACAACGTGCCTTCCCCAGTCCTGGAAGAGCCACTCCCCCCTACCCCTACCCCCCAATATGTCTTTAGGAAGGCAAACAGCAGCCTGCAGGGATCTGAAAACCCGACAGGTAGACATTCTGTAAGTGGGGGAGGGCAGCTCTTGGATCTATCAGACACTGGAAAGGCACGGTTCATGATTACGAAAGGAGGTCAGTATCTTCCCAGTCACAGCAGGTTTAAACTGGAAGACCTGATGCATGACAGCTATGCCTTAGGTACTTCTCCAAACCACAGATGCTCTCGTTTTCTTAGAAGGACATTTTCAATACACAGGAACATGCATTCTAAGACAAAGGCGTTAAACAGAAGAAAAAAGGCATCTTGTTACCTACTTTAAGCCAGAATAATTCAGCAAGACACTAATTAACCTTGAGAAGCATCATATGCTCATAAGGCACTTATTTCAAAGAGGAGAAGCAGTCGGCAACAAGATAAGAATTTTAATAGCCACACATTGACACGTGCTTTCTTAATATGATGTCTCTGGCAACCCAACTAAAAATGTTTTAGTCTTGATGTTTATTTGAGTTAAACATGAAAATAATTTAGAGAATACTGTGAAGAAGAAATTTATTCAGTGATAAATTTATTATACTACATTCCTTCATACTGTTTGTAAAAGCAAGTCATTATTTTTCATCTTTACATGAATGGAATTATAAAAGCACACTGCAACTTTTATCATCTTTTATGTAAGGAGATGCTCTTATGCCAGCTCATCTGGCTTAATTACTATGGAATATATGCCATGTTTGCTATATAAATTAATAAAAATAGCCCCCTAAATAATTCTTTTGATATAATCTCAAGATAGTAAAATGACAGTCAAAACTAGAACATTCCAGCAATGTGAAAAGGCGACATGAAATGCAGCAAATAAAGCAAACTTGAAAAGAGTTTTATTCATCGTTTATCTGCAACAAAACTAGAAATTGTTCATAATTATGCCCCTTTCTAAACAAATATGCTCCCTCAACATATCTGTAAAGAACAGATCATTAATTAGCTAATGATACAAGTGTGCGGTAATCAGAAATGTGTGTAAGTCTGGACATCTTCCTGTGTCTTTAAGAAAATACTGTAATTTTGTAATATTCATTGCACTAATTATAGTACATTATCTTATCAACTAGTTCAGTAGAGGGAGCTGATTCTCATAATTGCTGCCGCCGCCATTAGTCACTGTCACATTACAGGAGTTTGTGTAATTGCGGAGATGGGTTTTCAGGACACAGGCACCAGAAAACGCAGAGCCACACATTAATCTTCAGCTATCTGCCCACCAGCTTCCAACTCTTCAGCAAAATTCCCAGGTTTTTTCCTTTTTGATTAACCTCTTCAGCATCACCCAGATCACGAGTGGCCCCAATTCTATAACTGACACTGGATTAAGCTGCCAAGGAAAACCATGCTTCAAAGAGTCCAGTGTGCTGTTACTGAAAAGATTATGGGAGTTGAAATGCACATGTGAACCGCAAGTCAGTTTTGGATTTGCCCCAGTTGTTTAGAGTGAAAAGAGGCACACATCATACTTCATAGGTGCTTCTGTCGGAGTTTAACACTTGGATTTATAAATTTTATTCATGATGTTTGGAAAGACAGTTTCCCCTTGAGAGGGAAAAAGACTCATACACTTATACGCACACAAACAAAAATAAAGTGCCTAAGAGCGTCCTTCTCAAGGATTAGTATTGCTTTCAGAATTTTACTACCACCTTTATTCACTACTGAATGTGCAATCAAATTGTTTTCACTATTAGTTTAAGCCACTCACTGGGCTTACTCTTAAGATGGGAGGAACCCTAACATCATGAAGGACTGATTTACCTGAGGCTTTTGGTAAAGGGCTTTCTGTAACTACCTTAAAGGAGATGATGGGTGTTTTTTTTATTTACTCCAATTCTAATATTTGAGGGGGAAAAGGGTGAGTGTATCTGAAAAGGAAGCCACTGTCTTTCCTGCCCAAGTCTTCTGCTGAATAGTACTGCTGGGGACAGCACTCATCTACCCCTTCCATCCACCTCTAGAGTCCCAAACATCCTGCTCCTCAGGAAGAATTTAAAGTGTGGGGAAGGGACCGAAGGATGGGCAAGGGAGAGGCGAAGAAACCCAGGGAGAGAGTTCCCCATGTGAAATTAAGCGGATGGCCATAATGCTGTTTTGTGAACCCAGGTAGTATTTGCACACATTTATTTGTGATTTTGATCCTTCACAGACACCTATCATAAACCTGCTGTCCTAGAAAACAGAAATGAAGTTGATGAAAATGGCTGCTAGACTAGAAATTAATTCTGTTTTAAGTCCTTTGTGAGCTTAACTGCTTTCCAGACCTATTTCTGTTGTTGTTCAGTCGCTAAGTCATGGACTCTTTGCGACCCCATGGACTAAAGCACACTCCTCTGTTCTCCACTATCTCCTTGCATTTGCTCAAATTCATGTCCACTGAGTCGGTGGTGCTATCTAACCATTTCATACACTAAGAACTACCATCTAAAGAGCCTCTTTTTCTTTTCTTCCTGTCTTCATGATGATCCTATAGGCAAGCATGTTATTTTTGTTTTAATCTTTTCCTTAACTGGATTTCTGACCCAGGAGGAATGTGAGTCATTTGGCAAGACAGAGTGGCCGGAAGAGGGAGACTTTGTCACCTACCAATTTTTACTTATTTATTTTTTAACTATTTTTCATTGGGGTATAGCCAATTAACAATGTTGTGATAGTTTCAGGTAAGCAGCGGAGGGACTCAGTCACACACACACACGTATCCATTCTCTCCCTAACTCCCCTCCCATCCAGGCTGCCACGTAACATTGAGCAGAGTTCCCTGGGCCCTGCAGTAGGACCTTGTTGGCTAATCCATCTTAAAGATAGCCGTATGCACACGTCCATCCCACAAGTTCGTTCTCTAACTCTGTGAGTCTGCTTCTGCTTTGTAAGTTCATTTGTATCATTTCTTTTTTCACCTACCAATTTTTGATGATGAACTTCATATCCTGAATCATGTCGGAATTCTGCGTCCATCTTCACTTCAGAGATCTCTTCCGTCTTGATGTTTGTTAATCCCGAACCTGTATGACACCATAAGCATTGTACCATAATCAAAACATACAGGCCAGTCCATTTGTTTTATCTATAAACAATATCATTACAACACAAAGCCTACCAGAAACTTCCTCCTAAGCCTAAAGTTAGACAAAAATAGATTAACGACTTTCTTCAAGAAAAATGACACCTTATATTTAAATCCTTAACCACTAACTTTTTTAACCAAAAAGAAATTAAAGATTAAAGAAATTTGAACTTAAGGCTTCTATTGCCTTTAAGCACATGCTATAATTTTTTTTCTTAATGGAGAAAAACAGAAGTTAAATGCTAGTTGGGAGGCTGGCAACGATTTGTTCCCAGAATATGCTGGCTTGGTTTAGGGGCTTATTGCTTAGCCTATAATGTGTCTCTTTCCTTCAGAAAAAGTAATAAAAGGCTTTAAAAATGAGCATTAATTACCTGGTAGAACAAAACTGCTACTTTGGGACTTTGTTCCTATTACAAATAAATTATGCTCATGCATCTATGCAGTGAAGCTCTGTAAAAATCGTATCATTTATTTAGTTAAGTGATTTAGTTACAGACATTAATACAAAATGTAACTGGTTCATCTGCTGAATAAAGAACTGCAGTACATAATTTTTGAAAAATGTTTCTGTGGGACTAAGAGAATTTCTAATGTACTAATGCTTCTTTATAAATTACTATATGATCCTTACACTAATTGTTATCATGAATTTAATTTTTCTGATGATAATTTGAAGTTTAAAAACAAAACGCAAAGTAATTTTTAAAACCCCAAGTGACAGAGTGCAATATAAATATGATTTACATGTTGTAGTGTTTAAATATCAAAAGTCTGAATTTTAGGATGAGAATGGCTTCTAAGATCACCTGTTTTCTGCTCTTCACACCCAGGGGTAAACTCTCAGCTCTACTTGAAAAGAGAGGAATACATCAGTTTGCCTCCATTTTCAGACAGCTTTGTCTACTAGAATGCTGTTTCTTACACTGAGCCAAAACCAGTTTCCTTGTAACTTGCACACTTTGTTCAACACAGAACAAGCCTGAACCTCCCTTCTGCACAACAGCCTTGAACAGATCAGAAACTCAAGAAGAGAAGTCATGTTCCTGCTGATTTTTCTCCTACTTGGGCTCCACGTTCCTTCAGCTCCCATGGGACCTCATTTCTTGCTTTTGGTCTGTCGCTCTTACAATCCTGTCTACAAGGTGCTGTGAACCCTGTCACACATCTTGTTAAAAGTGAAAAGCAACGTCCACAGAGTATGACAGGCCAGTCTAACAGCACACTCTATACAAAAGGGAACAGGATAATTTGACAAGATCCAGGGAGCTCATGCTGGTTGTGACATATCACTGATTCCTTGGCCAATTGCTCAAAGAGCTTCCACTTAACAACCTATTCAAAAATGGACCCTAGATCAACGTCAATCTCCATCCAGCTGATAGCCTGTGATGCTGCCTTCTGCTCATCAGAAATAATGTTTTCTTATTCCTGTCTTCCCAGGTCTTGCTAGTCCACAAAGATCAGTGAGAGCAGTTCTGTGATCTCGCCCTCAAGTTCTCCAAGCCTGTGAGTTCCCTGGGTCCTAGGGACTTACACTTGGGTAGAGAAGTGTGGTAGTTTAAAAATATAGCCACATATTATAGATGCTCTTACCATCAGGAGGTGGGACTTAATTCCCTTGTGTGTAGACCTGATATATAGAGACTTGCTTCTAATGAACAGAATGTGGCAAAAGTGGTGGTGTATGACTTGAGACTGGATTGTAAAGGACAGGTTCCTTTGTAATCTGTCTCAGATCACTCGGTCTGGGGAAAGTCGGCTGCCATGTTGTGAGGGTACTCAAGCAGTGCTATTAAAAAGATTCACATGGTTAGGCACCGAGATCTCCTGCCAACTGCCACGTGAGAGAGCCATCATGGAAAAAAACCCGACCAGCCCAGCCAAACCTTAAGCCCTCAGATGCATGGAGCTGTGGCAGATGTCTTGATTGCAACATCCTGAGAGACCCTGAGCCTTAAGCATCCAGCTAAGCCATGCCTGAAATCCCTGAAATTCATTATAAGAAGCGAAATGTTTATTTTTAAGTTGCTAAGTTATGGGGTTATTTATTATATAGTAATAGATAGTCATCACAAAAGACTGTGTGCTCAAGTGTGTCTCTTTGCGATACCATGGACTGCAGCCTGCCAGGCTCCTCTGTCCATGGGATTTTTTTCAGGCAAGAATACTGGAGCGGGTTGCCATTTCCTCCTCCATGGGAATTTTCCTGACCCAGGGATCAAACCCACATCTCCTGCGTTTCCTGTGGGTTCTTTAACCACTGCGTCACTGGGAAGCCCATTACAAAGGACTAGTGCCTTCTTTTCTCATCTTCATCTTTCTAGGGCTTTGATTTCCTTTTAACAAAAGACCATTCTCTTCAATATACACATGAAAGACAGAAGCACCATCAGAGTGGGGCAGTTTCTCCTCTCATCTTTTAACTGGTCTGCTCAGCGCACTGACTGTCCCTGACCCCTAACCCCATCACAAGAACTGTAAGGTTCCCCATTCTTATTTATGTTCCTGCCTTAAAATGAGCAGCACTTTCTAATAAATTTCATCTTATTCTGACCTTTAGTCTTCGTGAAACAAATTTTTATTGGGCTGTGACATTAATGCTTGTTTATCCCTCATTAGTTGTACATTTTTCTCTTTCTACAAATCCTTTTAAATCTGAGGTCCTTTTAAAACTAAAGTCATTTCTTTATACCTTACCTCTTTCTGTTATCAGGACCTAACAATGCAACAGTTAAAGTTATATTTCTGAGATTTTAAGAAAACTCTCTTGAATACTCTTTCCTTCGAGATTTGTGAGACAAAATAATCACATTATAAAAAGGTAAAGAATGAGCTAGCTTTTCACTCAAAATTTAAAAAACCCACACTCTTCCTGAAAGGATACCAAGAGTACTTTCAATGGTCAAAAATTTTTCAAATTCATGCAGTAAGTCAGAACAACAGATTATGGCAAAATAGTTTGTAGGACTTTCAGCAGAAAAAGAGTTTCATTTTTTTGTACAGCATGTATAGTCAGTCACTGAAGAGCCTGTCATTACGCAAATCTCATTTAAAGGGGAAAAACTAATAAGCTTTCACCAGGGAAATATCGTTGATAATAAAAGCTTAAACTGTGTCTAGTGATATGTGACGATTTAAGAAGATGCAAATAAATTGCGTGGCCCTTTGCTTTCTGGTCTACCCGATGCAATCCCTGAGTCATTCTGATTCTATTCTAAGCCCTGCTGGGACTCTTGTTCTCTAAGTCATGGTGAGTCAGGAATAGCCTGCTGTTCATCTGAAGGACCTTTCTCAAAGGATCTGGTTTTCTTTATTAGGACTGGAGAACATTGGTTAAATTATAGTGGAAACATACCTCAGAGACATTGGGGGTTTAATTTCAGACCATCACAATAAAGTAAATATTGCAATAAAGTGAGTCATACGCATTTTTTGGTTTCCCAGTGCATGTAAAGGTTATGCTTGCACTGTACTGTAGCTATTAAAAAAAAAAAAAAACAATGTGTGTACCTTAATTAAAAATACTTTATTGCCAAAAAAGGCTACCCATCATCTCAGCCTTCAGTGAGCTGTAATCTTCTTGCAATAGTAACATCAAAGATGATTATCACAGATCACCATGATATAATGATTAATAAAGAAGTTCGGAACAACCAGACAGTTACTGAAAAGTGACCTACAGTCACGAACTGAACAAATGCTGCTGGAAAAATGGAGCTTGCTTATCTCAGGGTTGCCACAAACCTTCAGTTTGTAAAAAAATGCAATAACTGTAAAGTGCTATAAAGTGAGGTATGTCTGTATTTGTCTTCTTTATTCTGGTCAAATGGTGTAACTCGTCTTTTAGAGTCTATTTCTCTCAGGAAGTAAGCCTAGGGGAGTAGCTATAAAGGTCACTGTTCCAGAAATCACTACTGATATTATGGTTTCCCTTCAAGACACTACATTCTAAAAGTTACTGTGTCCTGGTATTTCAGATAAGAAAGTCAAGAAGAAACCCTTTTCCTCAGCTGTGATTATACAAAAGCCGTTTCTCTACTTGTTTCCAAGTGACAACAGTGATTGTTCAAAAAACAATGCCATCAATTGAATGACATGATGGGACAATCTTGGAAGGGTCTTTTAAGTTCAGGAAGAATAACAATATAATTTGGCACAGCAGATTCAGGCATGTGGTCTCAGAAAGTGTGATGATGAAGAACCAAAACCAACGCTATTCAACGGAAAATGTAGGGGGAAATTGATCCACATGTCCAAGAGACTCATTACAAGTGCAAAAAATACAGGGCATATGTATAACTAAATACACACGCAGCAAGAAAAGTTATTCAGAAACATATCTTAGTTAAGAGTCTGCCTCACTTTCTCTCTGAGAATTCTTTCCCATCTATGGCCCTCTCCTGGGGGAACTCAAGTTTTACAACAGTGTAAGAAAGGGAGATTGGCCCCAGTCATTCTCTCATCCATAGAGAACTCTTCTCATTTTGGCCAATGGATGTGCTCCAAACCTTTCAAAACCCATCCCGAAGTTCATTTCCAGCAATGCACCTCTCGGTTAATGGCCCACCTGCTCACATTCCAAACATCACAAGGTGGTTTATACTTTCTGTTGCTTTGAATTTCCTTGTCTTTCTAATTCCATCTCATCTTTCTAAATATGTACACTGTGACTCTTCTATGTCACTTCAAGCTCCTGAGAGCAAGGACCTTATCACTTCAATTCTTTCAACCCTCGAAGCAGCTGAGGGGTCTTCATAAAATAGCAAATGGAGCTACTGCCAATGTTACAACGGGGACTTTAGAAGAGGCTTCTTCCCATCTCTATATATCCTCTAACTGTTCTCTAGCTCTTCCCTTAAAACAAACTGCTTTCGTTTAAGAATGCATGGAGAATTCTGTTTCATGTTAAAATTAAAAAAAAAAAAAAGACTTAGGTGGTGTTACCTCTTCCTGGGTATTTCAGTAGGACCATAATGGCCCTGTGTGCCCAATACAGCAATTTAATAAAACTGGTTGAGTGAGTGCTTCTAATTCACACTGTCTGCTTGTGGATGAGAAGCATCTCTTTCTTTAAAAATAAAGTAGGAAGTGCCATGAAAACATGGCCCACGGCAAAGGACCAACCTGAGCTGGTCTCAAATGTAATTAGAACGGAACCAACCCTCAGCCTTGAGTCCTACCAGTGGGCTGAGCAGGCTGGGGATGTGTCAATTCCCCGCTCCTCGAAATTCACGTGTGTAACACGGGCAATAAGGAAGACGTTAGGCGAGCTGAAGTTGTGCCTGACTTACTGTAGTTCATGTCTCTCTGAAAAGCCCTACAGAAACGGATCATAGAATCAAGGAGATTGGCTGTCAAGACCCGTGACTCCACCGGCCCTGATGCCCTGTTAATTACACTGCAGAGGCTCGAAGAAGCCACAGGCAGACTGAATTTCTCAATGATGGTGGCTGGAGGCAGATGCAATCTGAACCTGAGCTGGAAGAAAGAGGGGCAGGGTCTGCTTCTGGCCCTGCTGCTGGCTGCATCTGAATAGGGGATCAGAGGTCAACAACCTCCGAGCATTAACAAGTCCCTGTGAGGTTAACGCCCTGTTCCGAGATGACTACAGGGGACGTTATGAGGATACAGAGGGAAAATATGGGTAGGGTTGCACCCTTGGGAGTAAAATCTTCCCAAAACATACACCGAGATTTGTCAATTTGGTTAACTTCTCTCCTCTTTCAGATCCACTGAAAGCAATGGTGCTATCAACTGGGTGAGGTTGTGCATGGGGTCAAAACCAGGCATGTATGTTTCTGTCCTGTGTAAAAGTAAATTTGAGACCTAGGCTCAATACAGAACAAAGGTGAAAACATGTTTCTTCTTAATGCTCAGGAAATTACAAAAAAAGAGACGTGTCCATACTAGTGTTAATGGGAATTTAATAGCATAAAAAATAAAGGGCTTTATGGAAAATTAGGTACGGGACTTCCGCTGTGTTTAAGACACTCATCAAGAATAACTGTCTACAACCCACAAAAGTTAAAATGGAAATATTTCTGGGCTCAAACGATATTCCAATTCTGCTATTTTTAGGAAGACACGTCTAACTGAAGAACTGAAATTTGAACCCAGTTCAGCTAGAAACGGAGCATCCGGACACCAAACAAGAAAGGAAGAAATGAGATGTTCCTAGCAGTAACCAAGTCGACACCAGCTGGAGTCTAGGTCTGTGTAGGTCTCCATTTTTTGAGGAAAGATAGGGTCTCTAGAACTCTCTCCACTAAAAAAAAGAAAAAAATCCCAATCATTAGAAGGGCTCCTTTTCATTGTCTCAAAAGAAACGCTCAGAAAGAAAAAAAAAAAAAAAGTCACCTAACGAGGAACTTGGGCAATGAGGTGTAAGGGAAAACGAAGGGAGAGTTTTAAAGTTTGGTTTCCACGGTCCTTTCACGTCCTGCTTCTCCAACGTTGCAATGCGGAGGGACTGACGCCGGAGAAAGGGGCTGCGTCTGCGTAAGCGCGGGATGCGGCGGGGCGCAGGGGCGGAGGGGCGGAGGGGACCCGCGTTATACCTGGTCGAGTGGTCAGTCCTCGGTCGGCAGCAGGGCGGGCGTCAACAGGCTCGACTGGGTACCGGAAGCAAGGTACACGGAAAGCAAACAAGACAAATCGAGATGGTTAAGTTGTGGCTCCTGAACACAGCGCGGGGGGGGGGGGGGGGGGGGGGGGGGGGGGGGAGGGGAAGCATGTGCAATACACAAGTCATATACCAAAAAAAGGAGCAGCTAGAAAAGAACCAGTTAATCCTGAGCATCAAGGATGGGAGGGGTACCACTTCAAAAGGCTTATCGCTATCCATGTGCCAATCCTACTCCTGAAGTTTTCCAATAAAAGCACTCACCAGGATACGCGGCAACATCAAAGCAGACGGGCTGGTGAGAGTGGCTTTTCCTCTCAGTGAGTTTAGCGATAGTTTCTTGGCTTTTGATTAGAAATAAAATACATGATACCCAGTCCAGTGGAAAATCTTAAAGATAACTCCTTTTACAACTGTCCAACCTTATCTTATTTTACACTTAATTAACTACAAAAGGACTCCGTTAAATCCCCAGGGGAAATGCAAATAGGAATTTATCAGGAGAACAAAGCTTCACCACATAACCTGCCATTTAGCGAATCGAATTTGTTCCCAGTTTGAAGGAGGCAGAGGTAAGCCAGAGTTTATCTCCCTCTCTGTATTTTTTTTATTTTTCTCTCTCTGGTTAAAGACTGGTTTCTATTTAATAGATGACATACAGTTGAAATATATGAAGTTGAGAGTATTTCCTTTTGTGTTTGTCGACTTTCACAATTTGGGGTTTGACCCAAAGAAAACGTTGAGGGCAGCACAATACTGTCCTCTATTATTTGCCATTAGCTGGTATTTCCAAAGTGCTTCAGGTTCTCAGAAAATATTAAGTTGAACTTACCCTGGTCTTTCAAGAAATGGGCAAGGGGGAGAAGCAAAGCTTTTAGGATTAACAGTGGACAAGGGGACAGAGAAGCCAGGCTGCTTGCTCTTCTTTAGTCGCTAAGTCACGTCTGACTCTTTTGTGACCCCATGGACCGTAGCCCCATCCATGGGATATCCCAGGCAAGAATACTAGAGTGGGTTGCCATTTCATTCTCCTTCTTCCTGACCCAGGGATCGAACCCACGTCTCCTTCATTGGCAGGTCGATTCCTTACCACTGAGCCACCTGTGAAGCTCAGTACAGCCAGGAAGGAGGGATAAGGCCTCCTGGGTATGGCCCTGGAGATGGAAAGGTAAGAAGGTAAGGAAAAGTGAGCAGTGGTGTCCGTGGGAGGAGGTGTCCTGGATGGGATGGCATTTGGATCAGCAATTTCAACAAGGCCATACAGCTTAGGGATGCATACAGCCGGGGCATTCAAAGACGGGATTATATGCCCAAGTCAATTCTGAATGCCACACACTAGCAGGAACAGTGAGGGAGAAGAAAACGGCAGCAAGCCAAGTCTTCAAAACAGGAGAAAAAAGTGTTGATGAGAATACCAAGACGTTTGGATGCATCCAAAGGAAAAGGTGATTTGGTCCTTTATCATGCAGTCTGGCAGAAAGGGGGGTGGAGACACCCAAACCCGACATTTACAATGTAAGTGACCTATGGCAAATGACCACATCTGAGGCTGTTGTTTTATAAGTAAAATATTAGTAGAAATAATAACTTATCTTCTGATTGTAACGAGGAAACAAAAAATTTTAAAAACCTATTTCAGAAATTCTCCAATACTATAAAATTGCATTTATTAAATATCCTACTTATGAATTCATCTATGACACCTATTTTGAGGATGACTAATACTCTGTTCACTATCAAATGAAGACATACTACTTACTGCAACTCATAAATACACGTGAACAATACTGTTTCTCTGTATTTCATACTTTTTCCGTTGAATAAGGGACTTTATTACTCCTTATAAAAATGGGTGTTCACGGAAGGATTATTGTAGTTTTGGAGACTTCCTGATGGCAAGAGCCCCAAATGGTGCATCAGTTGAAGAAAAAGATACCAAAATCACAGAGCAAAACCTTCATCAGTGGTTAAATCATTAGACATGTGATTCAGGAGGAAGCAGTTGAGTTTGTGGTTTAAACTCTGGCTGAAGGCCAGAGTGGTCAGGCTCGGGATCCACTTTAATGCCACCACTTCTACCTTCTGTGCTCTTGGGCAAATCTCATTCTTCCTGAACCTCAGTCTGTCACAAGGAATCTAGGTTTTCCCAGGGCTGAAACATGCACATGTATGCCAAAGACCTTTACAAATGATGAAGCCCTATTCCTTAATTTACTCAAAGGAATATGGAAACACATCAACTGTGCATAGAAAAAAGTCTGAAAGATACTACCACAAAAAGCTATCATTTATTCTGGGTGAGCGATCACTCCTATACATTTCTCTGCCTTTTTGAAGGTGCATGTATTATTTGAAAACAGTAGTAAATACTTTTTCTGTGTTTTGGGAAGATAAACAACAATAGTTTTAGTGATGTAAACCTTAGTTTAACAATGTGAGGCTGATTTAATATGAATATTCAAAAAATAAGGTATTCTTGTGTTCAGTGAGCAGACCTCTATACATTTTTAAAAAGATAATCACATCACTGTAAAAAAAAAAAAAACAGACTGACAAGACAAAGGACTGTATTATTCCCAATCCAAAATAAATATTTCTAAATTTTCAAATAGACCATTTACTTGTTGAGCCAGAAAGTAACTTCAATATAGTGTTCAAAACATGTTATTTTGGCTGTATAGTAAATTAAACATAAGAAACATAAAAACTTTAGCAGAAATGTGTTATTTCACTGCCTGCAGCAGCTTTGCATCAAATAGTCCCCTTCATAAAGAGAGAAATAGGATGGCAACTCAAGGACTTCTGAGTTTGTTGGTTCTGGTGTTCACTGCATTAATAACAAACCAATTCTAAGCTAAACGCTGCCCAGCATAAACTCTCCTCCCCACCAGTCCCAAGGTGATAGAAGGGCAACAGGAAACCAGTTTTACACGTAGATTAAGAGGGGCCTGAAAAGGCATGGCTTCCAGGTTTGATGAAAGACATTATTTAATCTCATTTTGCCCATTTTAAAAGTGCTTTGTTCATTGCGGCATTATGGCTAAGTGAAAATGGACCAGGGGGCGATTTCTCGATGCAATCATGCACATCCAGTCTTACAAGACCTCTTATGCCTCTGGAGGAATACTAGAGTATTCTGTGTCTGTGTTACACATAGACAAGCTGACTGCTGGCCAGAGACTTTCCAGTGGCCACTGCATTTTCCTGATCTTCAGCCTGGCCTGTTCAGGCAGTCATGCAAATACAGAACAAAAACAAACGCTATCAACACAAAAGCTTTCAGCCAGATGATTTCATGATCCATGAGAACAACTGTTTTAGGAACAACAGCCTCACTTCGGTTTAGCCATTTCAGTTTTGTGGCTCAGAAATGCCACAGAATAAAAATCCCTGAAGGCAAATCGCGGCTGGTCGAAGAGCTTAAAATATTGGAAAACTATTCTGTGATACACTGATTTGTTCAATATAAATTAAAAGAATGCCTGGGTGACTGACCCTCTCTGTGGATTTGACTGATAGTTCTTGAGAAAAACAACAAATTCTGGTAGGCCTTTGAAGCTCTGATGATGATAAGAATTGCAGGAACAATGAAAGGAAATCCTTTGAGAATTTTAGATATTTTCAATAGCCCTGTATAGGAGCACATGTCGGTAAGATTAGCAAGGAACGAGGCTCTGGGGAGAGGGAGAAGAGGAAGATGGGGAGAAAGAGTGAGATTTTAGAACTATGATATGGTTTGTTGCATTCATTAATTTTAAGGATACATTAAGTCCTCTACATACGAACCTCTGAGTGGCAAGTTTTCAAAGACGTGAACGTGTGGCTGCATGTTGAGTCACGTAAGTTAGTTCACGTGTCTGGGGTACATGGTCACGTGCGTGCATCTTCTACAGGTGGCTGTGCTTTTCTGTAATTTTTACTGTGTAATCCAGGATAGAGTACAGTATTACAGTATCTTTATTTCAAGCCTGGGATGTCCAGAAGCAAGTGTAAAAGCAGCTGGTACTAACTGTACTTTTCTTTTTTTTAAACTACTGTACTTTTCAAGGTACCGTGCTGTAAGATAAAACGTATTTTCTATTTTTTTGTTTGTTTGTTTGACTTAATTCAGTGATGTTTACTTTTTATGTATTGTGTGTCGCTCAGTCATGTCCGACTCTTTGCGAGCACATGGACTGCTGCCCGCCAGGCTCCTCCGTCCATCGGATTTCCCCGGCAAGAATACTGGAGTGGGTTGCTATTCTCTTCTTCAGGGGATCTTCCTGACCCAGGGATCGAACTTGTCCCCCTGCACTGCAGGCAGATTCTTTACATCTGAGCCACCAGGGAAGCCCCTTTTATGTATTATTTGTGTGAGATGTATTATACATCTGTTCCAGTATAGTAGTGCTATATAGCCAGTTGTGTTAGCTGGGTACCTAGGCTAACTCTGTTGAGCTTACGAATGAACTGGATTTATGAACGTGCTCTCAGAACGAAACTCCCATTCGTATGTAGGGGACTTACTGTATACTGTTTAGGTCATAGGGTGACTCTGAGACAAGCTGGTAAAACTTCTCTAATAAGGTCCTGGTTCTACTTTTTTAAAAAAGAAAACTACCACTGAACATTTCCTACATTTCAAGCACTTTACTAAGAGGTTTTCATACCATCTCATGTAATGCTCACACCCTTTTGAGTAGCAATTATTACCAACTTCGTTTTACAAAATAGGAAATAGCCAGAGACACTTTGTGACTTGGCCCAGATCACATAGCTGGAATTTAAACCCTGATGCACAGCATTCTGGAGTGTGGGATGGTGGGGAATGTGGAGGTCTTTTGGGTTGCCACTGTGATAGGAGAAGGAGGGAGGATGTTAATGGCATTTAATAGCTGGGGACCTGGGATGCCAGATGGAAATCACAGGGCAAACTCACACAAATAAACATGGTCCTGCACCCCACACAGCTTCCTAAAGTCCTGCTGGACGTTTTTTTCTGCACAGTTCTTACTGTAACCTGGAACTTCCCAGAGCCCACCAATGGATAATATGAAAAAAAAACTTTAATTCAGGACCTCTGTATCAGTCTATATCTGTATTTGTTACATCCGCAAGGGGCAGACACTTGACTGCCATGCTTTCCTCAAGCCTGAACATTTACTGAAACATTTACTTTGATGTCTGTTATACTGACTCTCCCCTAAACACTGTCAGTTCATTTTAAGATTCATTAAAGAGACTTTCAACATTTAGAAAAGGAGGGTTGGTCTGATGATGGTAAAAATCAGAACTCAGATTTTGACATCTTAAGTATTATTGCCTCCAATATTCTTCTGCAAGTTTGTTGTTAATCAATAACATCCTTATGTAACAAGAATATTAGCTCTTTTAATGAGGCTTAGGCAATATAACATCTGTTTCTTGGTCAAGGCTCCAGAGGCACTGACTTTGTCCAACTGGGCATCTATCTTGGCAACATTCAAGGGCACTGAGGTACGTGTTTAGTCCATTGCTGTTCTGCGATATCGACAAACTATTTTTCTACTTGACTCTGACCCTTTGGATCAGTGATCCAACGGATCACTTTGGGGGAAACCTAGGATAAGAAGTCCAGTGTTCTTTCTTTGGATTCATTTGCAAGAGAAGTCGGGGAAAAAAAAAAAATCACAACATGCTTTCAAACTTGGACCAACACTGAATTGTTTCTTGCTTGATTTGGGAGAAGTGTCAAGGGGCAGAAGATCAGGACCACAGTGTGAATGTTGACCGACCACGGCACCAGGGGCTGGATTTCTGAAAGCCGCTCTACTGAAATGAAATAATTCCTCTCTATATTTCTACATAAAAGAACAGCCAGTATTCCCCTCCACCTTTTTTTCTAAACAAAATCAGTTTGGTTACTATTTAGAAAGATTAACATAAGAAGCATGTTTAAATACAATGCATGTAATTTTTAATGAAGATGATGTATATGTATATGAATACACATAGGGTCAAGGTAAAATTCTTAGGGCATATGAAGGCAGATTTATTTAACTGTTGGTATTATTTATGCTATTAATATAATAAATGCAAAGTTCAATTTCCTTCATTAAAGACAACCAAGGAAATATGTAGGCGGATATTTGCATATGAAGCAGTTAAGCTCTTAATATTTGATAGAGAAAGGGAAATTTTGAAATTCAGGAAAGGCAACACCTTCGGGGATTATTATAACTTTTTGCCGTTCTCCGTTGTGCTGTGCAGACCTAAGCACCACACTTCTTTGTCTTCACTAAACTTGGAGAGTAACATAAACAGGGCTACAGTATCTTTGTCTTCATTGAGCTTTGTGTGATTCACGTTTGTAAAGGACATACAAAATATTACAACAGATATCAACGTTAATGTCTGTGAATTAATTTCACTCTGCTGCTAACTCAGCTTCTGTTGTTAGCTTTCTAAATCTCTTCCCATAAACTTTACCCATAAATAAATTACAATTTATAGTCTCTGTTACTTGTGTGTGTGTTCATAAAAATGATTTAGGTAAACTCTAAAGTACGTTTTATCCTACTTTTCCAAAATCAATACATAACTGAAAATATTAAATGGGAACATTTCATTTATGGAAAATATATACTTAAAAGATATGTGAAAGGTCTTAAATTATAAGCAATTGATAGGCAATTCTTTATAATTTTAGAAGCACACTGGAGATGAATAAGTTCTCATGGCAGGGGTAATTTTTAATAAAAATAGAAAATAATTATGTATTTAAGTTTTTCTGTAAAAAGCTAAAATCTGGACATAAATGACAAACTACACATTTAACACTATTTGGTATAAAAAGGGCATAAAGGACTGCAATTTGCTACTAAAGTTTGTGAGACCTCATATATGTTACCTACTTTTCTGTCAATTGAACAACTCATTATCTTAACAGAAAAGAGGAAATCTTGTGTGTGTTCTATTTGCAAAATGAGATTGGACATTTTTCACAAACAACTCTCATTTGAGGTTGAATGATGAGGATTTTAAATGACCAAAATGTATTTATCTTTAAAAAATAACACAAGTAGCATTCTAGTAATAATACAATTTCATACGTCACCCAGCCCTTTGACCCTAAATCTCCTTATTTTTTTCCATGTTAGAACTGTTTTTATAAATGGTAGTCTTAATTATTTTTATATTATAAATAACACTGCTGTTTGTATCTGATATTATTACCAAAAGGTACCTCTTTCCAAATGAACAAAACAAATTTGTGGTGATGACCCCTTTTACAAGAACAGTCTATATTAAAGATTTTCTGCAATGGTTCTTTAAAAAAGTTTCTCCAGTGCACTTAAGGTCTAAACCTGGATTTATATTTAGTTGGAGGAGTGACTGACTGTATTTTGAGGTATCCATACTACAAATATCCATATTACAAATATTGCCATCAAAAGTCGTTACTTTAACAAAGAAGAATCACAGATAAAATCCTGTGTTCTTGAAAAACAAACTATTAGTATCTCAAAATCGAGGTGTTCCCATGTTTGAAATTTTATACTTCTGGAACATGTAATAGAATAAGAACTAAAAAATTCTCTCTGCCCAATAGATACTATTTGAAAAGTTTTGCTAAGAAATCCCTGCGAAAGAAGGTATATATATAATCCATTGTGCCAGTTTATTGACAGAGAAAATCTTGCTTCTTTGAATTATCAAAGGAAGTAACATTTAGATTAATGTGCGTCTTAATTTTGACAAATGCTTTGTATTTAACTTTCTGAACCTCAAACTGTGTTAACTCTTAAGCAAAATTACATTTCATGACCTAAGTGTTTCTCTATCTTTGCCTTTCACATTTAATGCAATCTGAAATTTAATGCACTAAAATAAATAACTGACGAAGACCTTTCAGGTCCCTTTCAAACCTCCATTTATACAGGCTCCACTGAAATTTCTCTGTCCGCTGAGTGAACTGTGATTTCCGTAATTCCATCACCTGTTTTTTTTGAAGGTTGGCATTTGAGGCCACTGTCTCAAGGACACTAACTGGATGCTGAGCTTTCATTCCAGAACCAACAAAATACCTCTTGGTGAGAAAGCCTTAAAAAAAAATTCATATAGAAAGTCACCCTTTAGGAATGTGAGAGAGATTACATAGGTACCAGACTATTGTTCCCTCTTGGGCTTCTTACCTTCGTTTTCCGTGTTGGCGGGCACAGAGTCGACCCCAAAAGGATGCCAGGGCTGGAGGTCGTCCAGGCTGAACTCGCCATTCACGGGAAGAAGCTCCACGGTGGTTTTGGTTTCCGTCAAAGATGGCATGAGAGCATCATTGCCATAGCTGATCCTCGGTTCACTGATTATGTTGGCCAGGACATCGTCCGAGTAGTTCTGTTCTTTCTGCAGCAGCTCATCTAAACCAAGCAAAGCCAAGTCTTGGGTGAGTAACAGTAATAGTTACAACAGAAGCAGCGGCTACTGCTTGCTGTGTGCTAGGCACGACTGCAAGGCAGATCTTATTTACCATGTGGGCACCGTTATCACCTCCATCCTACAGACAGGGAAACTGAGGCACTTGGCAGATAAGACACTTATACAGTATCACAGCTAGCAATGCCCAAGGTGGGATTTGAGCCCTGGGAGGATGGCTTAGACCAAGGTGGATGCTCTGACCAGGTGCACCAGTTCCCCCAGGGAGAAACCTGGAATGACCCTTCACTCCAGACACAGGCAGATTCTCCTAGTCGACGGGGATCACGGAGAAATGGAGAGGATGCTTTGGTCTCAGTAAGCCAGGTGCAGTTTCTTTCAAGCTGAAGGACATATCCAGTGAATTTCTAGTCTTTCCATGGACATGTGTAAGAACAAGAAAAGCCTAAGTAACAGGCTGCCTGCTTGCTCCACTCCTGAGCAGCTCTCATTGTTCTGCCTTGAAAACAATCCGTCTTCCTCAAATGCTCCCAGGGGCTGCACGGTACGTGTTCTGAGGCTACAAAGCAACAAGCCCGGAGCCCTGCCGGTCGTGGCCTTGCAGACACGAAGCTCTGGGCCAGCCTTCTCGTCTGTGGGTACACAGCCCTGCCTGCCAACATTCCTCATGGGCTCTCAACCCAAACATCCCGTCTTTCTCCTCTGCTGCATCTCCTTGCAAAACATCCTATCAGACAGTAAAGAACCCGCCTCCAATGCAGGAGCATTAGGTTCGATCCCTGGGTTGGGAAGGTCCTCTGGAGGAGGGCATGGCAACCCACTCCAGTATTCTTGCCTGGAGAATCCCATGGACAGAGGAGCCCAGCAGGCTACTGTCCATAGCGTCGCAAGGAGGTTGGACAGGACTAAGCAACAAGGGAGCAGTCACAGTGGAAAATCTTACATCTGTGCTTCATAAAGCACGCACAGCATTTCAGATTGCAGCAAATCACAGTGCTCCCCCATTTCTCTTTTATCTTTTAGACCGTTGGCAGGAAATTTCCTCCAAATGGCCGCTAAAATGTAGAGAGCCCCGTGGTGGTGAATTTTCCTGGTTTATTATATTCATTTTCAGAAAATGAAAGAATGAAATATTCAAGAAACACTACATTTTCGGTAGAGTGAAAAGCACTTAAATATGAAAGACATTTTTGGTACCAAAGTAGAAATCCTCTTTTCTATCTCACTGTGACACAGGAGATTTAGAAACAGCCCCCTCTGGTCATCTCACTTGGAGCAATGAAGTCAGTGTGGTGTTTACGGGAGGAAAAGAGGGTGGAAATGATGGATTACCGTTAGCGGGAGTAGGATTCAATTCTGTGATCATAAAATGTCTAAGACAGCCACCTACTTCTTGACATTATTAAGGGCTCAGGTTTTTACCAACTGTTAACACAATTGGTACCAAACAATTCCTCCTATGATTAAAAAAAAAAAATCCAGAACTAAATGCGATTATCTCATTGTTCATTCTGAGTGAAACTTTATCTTTGAATTTTATGGTCAGACTGATCACACAGAAACTGCACTTCTACTATGCTGGTGGCCCTGATGTATAATCTTTTTATCTGAATTAATTTATTATTTTATTACAGTGCTTTGATGGCATATATTGGGATTTCAAAGCTTTTGAGCATCTACATTTGCCAACTGCTATATTAAACTAAAAGACTAGGCACATTTCCCTGAAGACTCTTTATTTTCCTAAAAGCTAATTGTTACTGCCCAAAATTACAGCAGTTACCTCTGTAGTCAAATATCTTCTGTAATACCCGAGCTTATGAGCATTGTAGTTAAAAGTGGAAATATTTAACTGAATTCAGTGATGGTAATATTTAGCCTACAGTTTAAACAACAAAAAGAAGTTTAATTTCAAATATTCAACATGCATTCAAACCCACTGTATGTTGCCCTTTCAAAAATGCTTTGGGGATGTTTATCAGGCATGTGTGTGTATGCTAAGCCACTTCAGTTGTGTCCTAGTCTTTGCGACCCTATGGACTGTAGCCTGCCAGGCTGTTCTGTCCATGGGATTCTCCAGGCATGAATACTGGAGTGGGCTGCCGTGCCCTCCTCCAGTTCCTGACTCAGGGATCGAAGTCCCATCTATTACGTCTTCTGTGTTGGCAGGTGCGTTCTTTACCACTAGTGCCACCTGGGAAGCCCATATCAGGCACACTTCCAGCAAATAAGAAAAACAAAACAAAACATCTCACCACATAGCTGTCATTAAAAATATGTTGTTTTTTTTAAAAAAAAGCAACATCAAAGGAGATCCCTGGTTGATTTCATCTTCAAATGACTAACATATTTTGTTCTTGGAAATGCAGTAGACTTCCAGGATAATTTATTTTGAGAGAAGTGGCCTCATAAAAGGACTTCTGAATAGGAAAGAGATGAATCCTAGGTAATTCATCTAATGCTCTCCTTTTAATGTTTAATCCACTTGCCTAACTCCTCCTTAAAGTTTTACTGCCACATTTAAGGTTTCATGAAAATGAACTTTATAAACATTAAGTCAGTTCTTCTACAAGCCGCAGGTGTAATTACTGAACTACCTTTTCCATCCTTTGAACACATTTGGGGCAGGGAGGAAACCTCCATCATACAGAGGTTCAACCTCTGTCTCTTCCCCTGTGAAACATGGCTAGTAAAGGTCTGATCTGGAGACTGGTGAACATGCCTAGGCTTGCTGGTTTTTCTTTCATATAGAATTGAACCTGCATCACTGTTAGCATTCCTCCCCTATTTTCGGACTCGTCTGGTTCTGATGGAAATAGACACATTTATCTGCAGCCTCTTCTCCAAGTGGAAATTTCTTTTCAACCTCGTCTAACAGGAGAGTCTCATGTGATCATTTCTTACATTTTAATAAACAATTACTTACGCATCTGAAAGCGCTGAGGAAGACACCTCTGAACAATGCATCTCCCCCAGACCCCATCCTTTGCAACTGCCACAGATGCGGCAGGCATATTTATAAAAGGGATGTAATTTTTTCCCTATTGAGAAGCTCTACTATAAATCTGCTGTGATCTGTGCCAGGCATTTTGCCCACACCAGGACTATGAGATCAGATTTAATTTTCCAATCACAGTCCGTGCACGTCTGATTCATGGCTTAGCATATAACTGCCACGCTGTTCACTATATTGTACTTAACCTGACTGGCTTCCCTGGTGGCTCAGATGGTGAAGCGTCTGCCTCCAATGAGACAGACCTGGGTTCAATCCCTGGGTTGGGAAGATCCCCTGGAGAAGGAAATGGCAACCCACTCCAGCATTCTTACCTGGAAAATCCCATGGACGGAGGACCCTGGTGGGCCACAGCCCATGGGGGTCGCAACAAGTGGACATGACTGAGTGACTTCACTTTTACTTTCAATTGAACCATGGTCTCTGAAACTCCCTAAGCTTTGCGTTCCTCATCTATTGAAGAGAACGATTCCTCTACAGAAACAACAAGACAGGGGGGAATGTGAGGCTGCCAGGGCTAACACCATGACAGGCGGCCCGGACCTAAGTTTCGGTTTCCCCTGAAATGGTAAGATTCCCTACCCCCATCAGGCCACCTGGAGCCAGCCAATCAACATGCGCCCAGTAAGAAAAAGGGAACCTATCAGGGGAGAGCTGAAAAGCCTGCGAACGCCCAAGTTTGAAAAAAAGCCCGCGAAAGTTTGGGCCAATAAAATTGCTTTGCAAACATGTAACCAATCCGCTTAAGCCAGCTACCAACTGCTTATGCTCACCCTATAAATTTGTGTTAACAGCTTGGGCTCGGGGCTCTCTGACCCCGCACCACTGTGTTGGATGCGCCAGGAGCCCTGACTCGAGTCAGCAATAAACTTCCCTTTTTGTGAGTTGCATTGTCTTGGAAGCCTTCTCTCTTCCCGCTCGGGGATTCAGACATTGGGCAGTAGCACTATAAAATTAGGGGGAGTTGGATGGATGGTCTTCGTAGTTTCTTCACTTTGAATCCTCTTATCTCGCTATGTGGGCACCCCCCCAAGAGCTTGTTGAAATCATAATCTCAGGTTCCAGCCTGAGCTAGGGAAACAGAATCTGCACATTTAACATGGTTCCCAGGCAATTTTTAAAAAATTGTGAAGTACAGTCCGTTTCCAATATTCTATAAGTTACAGATTTATAATATGCTGTTCAGTCACTAAGTCATGTCCTACACTTTGTGACCCCATGGACTGCAGCATGCCAGGCTCCCCAGTTTTTTGCTATCCCCTGGAGTTTGCTCAAATTCTCGTCCATTGAATTGCTGATGCTATCTAACTGTCTCATCCTCTGCTGCCCTCTTAGTTGCCTTCATTTTTTTCCAGCACCAGTGTAGTGTACAATATAGTGATTCCCAATTTTTAAAGGTTATATTCCATTTATAGCTACTATAAAATATTGGCTATATTCCCTGTGATGCATAGTATATTCTTGCAGCTTATTTTATACCTAATTATGTACCTTTTACTCCCCTACTCCTATATTGCCCCTCCCTTCTTCCCTCTCCCCGTGGTAACCACTAGTTTGCTCTCCTTATTTTGAAGTCTGCTTTTTTCTTTTTTTGGTTATATTCACTAGTTTGTTGCATTTTCTAAATCCCGCATATAAGTAACATCATATAGTTTGTCTTTATCTGACTTATTTCACTTAGCATGTAATCCCAGGTACATGTGATCCCAGGCCAGTCCTAAGCACATTATAGTCTGACCATTGCTACGAGGTATATCCATACAAAGGCATCCCTGCACAATGGTCTCAGCATCCCTTTCAGAGAAGACAAACCTCAAAACCAAACAAGGTGTCAAAGGTGAGTATGGCCCAGAAACAATGCCAGAGAAGAAACCGGGCTGCAACACACCTCCAAGGCATGTTCATAAACCCAACCCACCCTATTGCCTTCAAGCTATCATCATGATAACATTTTTCTGAACCAGAAAACCG